CATTCTACATAAGAACACTATACTGGAGAATAATGTTATGGTTATTTGCTGTTTTTCTGGTACATGACTACCATGTGTGTCGTAACCCTTAATTCCCAAGATTTCTGGAGTAATTCTCACTAATGTCAGCCATGCAATTTATGAGATTTTAAATTGGAGAATTTGGAATTGGATCAACTGATAATCCCCTAATTGATATTTTTCTTTACTCTCATTACTTGTCTACTTGATATCATACTGATGATGTGAGGAGAAATTCTGTGTAGGCCACTAGTGGGCCTTACAAGGTTAAAATAGGGGATTTCATGATATTGTTATGATTAAATTATTCTAATGATTTCAAATGTAACAAAAAATGTGATGAGAATCTGATGTTAAGAAACACTTACAATGGAAAAACCTGTTGCTGGTAGCTTATGTCTTAAATGTTTCAATTTTCATGGGAAATGCTTTTCTTTGAAAGCCAGGATACATATTAAGTTTTCAAAGCTAATAGAAATGAGCAGTTTGCAAGTAATAAAAAGCAAATTTAGAATCATACCTTAATGTTTGGCATGCTAATCACTCATACATGCAAGTAATGTGTGTACCCACCAATGTAGAGGTGCCTTTAAAAATTAATATATTTTTTTACACATGGCACCCTCTAAGGTGGAAGATTAGAAGACCATAGAATGATGTTTACTTATAAGCACTTGCACTGACTGTAATCATATATTCAAACAATACTCTACACATACTAATTACATGATGTCTTTAACCCTTTACACCCTAACATCAGTATGCATATATTCCATAATGTTCTCTATGCATTTCCTAATGCGCTTGCAAGGAGAATTTGTTTAACAATCAAGAGGTTCTTAATTCTGTTGATTACTTCACTTTCTCTGTTCTCATGACCTCAATATTTCATTCAGGGGTGATCTGAAAGGAGAAATTAGAGGCAACAGTTGTCAAGATTGTCAGGAAAGCAAACGAATGAACTGGAGACAGTGAAATGAGGGAAACTGTAAACTTTGCCATAAGGTAGAAAAAACATCAAAGAATATCCTTAACTGAAGGGAAACTTGAATTGTGCTAGCTTATTTCCTCTATTGCCTTTAATGTATTTGATCAAATAAAATTTAACTCTTTAACTCCTAGATCAAATTTGTAACTCTCCTTTCTGTCAACCATACAACTCTTGTCAGTTCAGAAAATTCAGTATTGGATCAAGTAATTATCCCCTTACTTACTATAATTTTTTTTATTCTCATCACTTATCTGGTTGATATTGTATTGATATCATAAGGAGAAATTCTGTCCTAGTCACTCATATACTCATGAGAGTTACAAGATTCATCAGTTGTAGTGTTTGCCTGCAATGTGTCAAATTGCCAGTGTGGACTTGAATTCTTCTCAGATGTCACTAAATGTCACTGATGATACTAAAAATAGATGTCCAAAAGAAAAAGTACACATCATCAAAAAATCACACTGAAGCTCAAGTGGTGGCATGACTGATTTTTGATATTTAGAATGACAGAAGCAGGAAAAACACATTGAGCTTTCTCCTATTCACCAGTAAGTTAACTAGGTTTTGGATTCTACATTTAAACAGGGTGAGATTTAATCTATTCATATCATGCTTCATGATGGTTTGTTTACATGGAAAGGTAATTGTTATTATAGCTTCTAAGAGAGTTTCATTTAACATAGCATGTTTCAAGAACTTTCTTCCTTTCTCTTCAGTACCATTTAGTTTTTCTGGAGCACAAAAAAGCAGGTTATTAAAAAAAAAAAACTTTTGGTGTAGGTAATTATTTGAATATGCGAGTAACATTCAATGTTTTCACATGTAACAGAATGATCAAGCTGAAGATAGAAAAATGCATTTATGTCCGTAGAACTATTGTAAGTACAGTACCACTTAGTGACAAAAATTAATGATTTCTTGTAAGCATGAACATTTAGGAGACGTTATGATGGTAATTGACCCTTTTTTTGCTAGGATACAATAAGGCCTGATGATTGTAATGTATATCTTTTGGTATTCAAACTTTCAACTTTGTATTAATTGTAATTGTTCACCATATCTACTTCTCTGTACCTTAAGCCCTCAAAAGTTGAAGCAGATGAGCCAATATAACCTGACTTCCTTTGCTTGGAATTGTGCAATTATATAATTTTGCTGTGTAAGTTACCACACTCTAACATGAAATATGATTATTTAGATTGCATTTAATGCACTAGATAAAGCTTTCACTAATGCATGGTGTTTCTTACCAATGGTCATAGTCCCAAACTAAGCATTAATAAGGAATTGGTCACAAGATATGTGAGTTTTAAAGGGTGGGAATCTGGAAAAACAAGAATCCTCCTTTAATTAGGACTGAAATTAATGAGTGTTCTCCTATTTTAATTCATGTTTTTTACTTTGACCTGCCTCCTCTCCTGTAATATTTAGGCACATAGATGAAGAGAACATTTTTTGTATTTTGATGCATAAAAGTCAAATTAATTGGCATCCACATAATGCACATTAAGCATGAGTATAAATACCTTAGCTTTATAGGTTAAAAAAATTAAAATAAGAGATTTTTGTAAACCATATCTTGTTTTTTATCCTCCCCTGAATATTTATTCGAATAACATATAGTCACTATCAGTCTCATTCACTCTCACTTTCCACTGAGCTTGTGGAAAGATGATAACCTCAGTGTCTCTTTAAATGAAGAAAGGAAAGCCTGCTCTCTTACCACAGATAGTTCTTTTGTGCATTATCAATACAAACCTGGTCTAATTTGTACATAAAGGTGGTTGTTCCAGGTAAGCTAACCTTAGAAATTAGTTGTGAAAATTTCATGAACCTGTTGTTGTACGTCTCGATTGTTTGACTCAATTTTACCTCACTAACCTGAACTGAATAAATAGAAATGTGAAATATATTTATTGTATTCTTGAGGTGTGCAGTAAAGTCATTGCAGGCTTAAACTACTGGTCTATAGGAAATCTGCATGTGTATGTGTTTTTAACATATTTTGAAACTGAGATTGTAACTTAACTTCAAAAGACTTTACTATGTTCTGCACAGGAACATGCAGGTGTTATAAAAAAGTTTGCTTGTCTTTTGCATCGGCACACATTTCTTTTTCTAAGAATCTTGTTTATCCAGCCGGTGCTGATTTCTAATTTTTTTACCAAATTTAATTTTCTTTTGAATATTCTTAGATCTCCCAGTATCAGTTAAATAATTACATGAAATCTTGCAGATGTATGGCACATTATTTTTTTCCTCTGATCCTCCTAACAATTTAATATGTGAAGGGACTGGTATTGGCTATAAAAGCATAGTCAAATTAAAGTTTTGTTCACAGCCTATGCACCAAGTCCATATTATAAACTATTGTATCCTTTTTAAAACTAGTTTATCAAAATAAGAATGAGTTACCAGAAACTAGTATGGCTTTCACGATGATAGCTTCCAGGTTTGAAAAAGTCACTGCCCTCTAAAATCTTCAGTTCCTTTGCCCTGACAGCCCAAACTCATCAAATCTGCCAACAGGAGTGATAAGCATATTAATGATACAGACAAGAGAGCCTATTCCCACATACATCCTCCTCAATCCTGTTAATAGCTTATTATGGACATGGCATTTCAAACATGGTGTATATGCCACAAGTTTTCCATTTTCCTGAGTAATTATTTTGTAATAGTGTTTATAAGTTGTGGAAAACGGTCTACTTGCCAGTAGATAGTCAAATGAAAACTTTTTATATATCAATAAATTTTATTGTTGCACTTCATGTTAACATGTTGCAACAGCTCCACCTTCCAGTAAATTCAACCTATTTAATAAAACCAGTAAAAACATCAACTTAACTCTCAAACTGAAGAGAAAACTTGATTGAAGTTTGGAATTGAATTCTGTGATGTAAAAATGAAATCCAGGTATTATCTCAAGTTTCCTTAAAGACACCCACATGATGTGCGATTACAACACAGGCTACCGGAGTAAATAACAGAAAAAAATCTCAAAAAGACGTCGTGCATTTCAAGCCAGAGGACAATCATGACATAAAATTAGCCAAAAGCGAAGAAGTAATTTAAAAAACTAGATATAGCTATCGCTAAGTGCCAACGAGCAACCAATGAAAAGAAATACTCATTGGTAATGTTAAAAAATGGAGTCATGTTTTGTGGGTGTAAATTTTAGTAGTGAAGTATTCCAACCAACGTGAAATGTTTTAAATTTTGAGGTGAATATGGTGAAAACGAAAATAAGTTTCTTGATTTTACATTATTGCAATACAAAAGTTTGTGCTGCAATGATAGCCAAGTGTGTTTTCTTCCCTTTCTAAAAATTATGTGTAAAACTGAATAATATAAGGTAATACAGAACAAAAATGAACCCACAATAACAACTCTTAATTGTATATGAACTGTAACAAAATATTTCTGAATCACTAAATAAATTTTTTCTTCACAGTCATTCAACTGGGATAGCACAACTATTAAGTTTGGGATGCATGGGCCAGTCTGAGATAACACATGCTACATCAGTATTAAACAATAATTTTAATTTTGCAACATCGTTCGAGACATCACACAATGTTATTGGACTGTTCACACAGAATGAACTAATCAGAGTTTACTTCTGGACGTTTAAAGGAAAGAACTTTGTATTGTTCATTGTTTGGACATTGTTGACCAAACAAATATTTTCTTCGAGACAATATAAGATAAACTTCAACGTCATTAATTTTATCCTTAATTAAGGGATGTATAGAGCGAAATCTCTAACACATGAATCTAAACTGTAACAAAATATTTTTCATTCACTGCTATAACGTTCCTCAAAGTCAAACACCTGGGAAAGCAGATGCACATCTTTTAGCTTTGGGATGCATGGGCCAGTCCGAGACTACACATGTTACATCAGTATTAAACAACAATTTTAACTTTCCAACGTCCTCCGAGACAATCACACAAGGGTATTGGACTGTTCACAGACAATGTGCTAATCAGAGTGTACTTCTGGACGTTTAAAGGAGAGAATCTTTGTAATGTTTGTTGTTTGGACATTGTATACCAAACAAATGTCTTCCAGAGACATAAGATAAACTTCAATGTCATCGATTTTATCCTTTAGGGATAAGGTTGATCCTGCCAGCAGGGTTTCTAGTTGCTCAGTGAAAGCCTGGATCCACATCTCTTTGCTGTTGTCACCTTCTGATTCAGTGATAGAAATTTTTGCTGAAGCCTGCAGTTTGATATCTCTTGATCTTTGACGTGTACCACAGTTTTCACACTTCAGTGTGGTGCAAGTGAATGATTCAACATCATTTAAGCGTTTTTTGCACACTTTGCAGGAACAAAAGATGTTTAGCTTTGACACCAAATTGAATTCTGAAGCAGTTACTTCCTTTTCTGGACTTTTGAGCATATCTGGTCCAGTCAGGGTTTGCACTGTTTGTGTTGTAAGGTTTGCTGTTGTGTTTGGCGATGTACTTAGATACGTCGACCCTTGGAAATTCTTTACTGTCAGGTTGGTGAAGCAGTATGATTTACCCGTTGTCAAGGTATGGACAAGGGGTTCCCAAATGTGAATCATTGATGACCCAGTGTTGTCCTCCAACACGCAATCTTCCTTCACATGGGCTGTTGCTCCAGTGGATCTGAGAACAACAGCCTTGAGGTCTTCTTTTCCCATAGTGAGGGAACCACTGACATTGACTTTTTGGTTTGGGTGCAAACCTTTTACATTCGACACAGTAACTGACTTTGCAGCACTTGATTCACCTGCACTTTCAAGCTTTGGCTGCTCGGTGTAACAAAATGATACATCTGACAAGCCTGCTTTATGTACGGCAGATTGTTGATTGAAAATACATTCATTGTCGTCTTTTACAATAATGTTCTTGAGCTGTACTGGGCTCTTGGTTTCCTCAAAATGTTTTAAGGAATCATGGACATAGAGATTAAATCCTACCAAACGTTTCACTTTAGTGGGTGAAGTTTGAAGCTGAAATTCATACCACTGATGCTTTGACTTAAGGGACTTCTTAATTGGACTGAGGTTGTGAATAAACCCATGGTCGTTTGCTGGAAGTAAACAATTAAGATGGTTAGAATATGCATAAGAGAATTATGTTTGATTGGCATGGTAATGTCAAATAATTTGGGGGGTTGGATATTTCAAGAAAATGACACATTGCAGGTAAAGCTTGAAATATAAAGGAGTCAGCATGTACTCATTATTATGAGTGAACAACAATAACCAAGAACAAAATTGCCTCTACCTTTCACAGATACAGTAGTCAGGTGCTAGGGGCTGAGTTGCTGCAAAATAACAGGGACACCAGTTGTCCCTGTTTAGTCTTAGACTACTTAAAGGGGCATGAATTCTGTATTTATAAGATAAAATAATTATATTCAGTACTTACAATAAGTCTTTTTGCTTGCCATCGTCTGCAACAAAAATGTTTTACAAATTAAAATACATCACACATAGATACATATTTTATTGACTTTCCTCCAGAGGCTTTTTTCAAAGACAATAATTAAATCAAGTCAAACAAAGAAAAACAGGGGAACACAATAATTGGTATTTGGATGTCTTGTTTAGCTTTTTTGGAGAACATGCTTACTGTATTAAGTCAAAGTTACTCATGATGACCATTTTTAGAAGCATTTAGAGATAAAGAATCAAGTCTCTTTTCTTCAATTAACCTATATTTCAAAAAATTTGATTTTTGTAAGCTTGCAACCTTTCAAATGTCATTGGCTCAATTATGAGATCTTGGAGTCTTTTTACTCTACTAAGAGCCACATATGTCATACCAGGTGAATTCTCTGAAGGGCCGAGATCTATCCATGCTTTTTAAGAGTCAGACCTTGGCTTTTGTGAATAGTCATAGCCCATGCTAGCTTTAAAGGAAGTTGTTGTCTTTCACATGTGTGACCTATGTTTTGTGAAATTTGGGTTATTGGACAAATTGGAACGCATCTTGGAACACTTGCAGTTAAAGAAGGTCCATTATATTGTTCATCAAACTGTACAAGAACACAAATAGGCAGGGCTGGAGGAGTTTGCCCATCAGCATATACAAAATCTAATACAGTTCCTAGTGCACCATTACAAAGACCAACTTCTGTCCACATGTTCATAGTGAGCATAACTCTAGCACCTTTAGCTAAATATATGACAGGTTCTAATCCTCCCATTTCATCAGAGCTAAGTGTTTGAGCACCACCAGAATGACGGGCTTTGATTGTTGCTATTGGCTGGTTTAGATTTTTTAATTTGATCAAGTTCATTTCTGCAACTTTTGCCTTCAGATAGGATAGCCTTACAGATGATGTTAGGAATTCTTCAATATTTGTTACATTTTCAGGAGTTCTAGATAACAATGTCTGCCAATCTGCCAAAGTGGATTCTCCATTTCGTGCTCTAATGAGGAGATCTCTAAAGCAGCTGTGGGCATTAGTTTTGCCATCAACTCTATGATTCACTGACAATGTGACGACTTGTTTGAACTCTTTATATATGAGGTGACCCTGAATCTGTTTTTCTGATTTTGGCAAAGAATGGAAAAGTGGTTTATCACCAACTGGGGATAACTGTGCTATATCACCGACCAGAATAACAGAAAGACCACCAAAAGCTTGATCAGCTAAACCTGTAGCTTGCCTGCATCTACAATCTATCCACCCAAATAAGCTCTGGCCAACAAATGAATATTCGTCTATAATCAAATACTGAATGTTTTGTAAATTAGTTTGAAGTTGTTGCAAAGCTATTCCTTTCAATTCAAGAGTCTTTTTGAACCAATTGGTAGTTTGAGGAAAGAATGCAGTGTTACACCCTTGACATTAAAAGAGGCCTTTCCAGTATATGCTAGTACTTGACATTTTTCCTTAAGAACATTTCTTACAGCATCAATAACATAGCTTTTTCCTGAACCTGCAATTCCTTTAACAAGTAGATGCAAAGGCAGTTCATTACTGCTGTTGAAGTGATTTAGAATGATATGGTATGCCAACAATTGATCGCTACTAAAACTTGAAATATCTATTACTCTTGATGATATGTGCCAACTTGGTTCATTTTTATTTTTCTGAGTATTTAACCAAGAAGTAACAGAAAGTAGATCAACATCGTCAAAATGTTCACTAACATTGTGCCAATATCCTTCAGGAGCTAACGTTCGAGTTATATTCAGTATCTGTGCTCAACTCCTGTAAATTCAGTTCTGACATAAACATCCACTCTTCCTTTTCTTCCTCTATAATTTCCATGTTTTCATTTTCATTTTCCAGATTAATGGCTGCTTTTAAGCTGCTCAATTGCAATTCCCAGTCAGGAACACTGTTCTTCCCACAATCACTACACAAAAGTTCATCCAACATGCTTTATAAGTTTCATCACACTGTTCAAGATTGTCCCATGCATTGTCTGCTACATGTTGCCAAGGTTTATATTTTAGCAGTTGATATTTACAGAACAGCCCATACTGCTGATTTTGAGGATTTGAAGAAAATTTGGGATAAGTTTTAACTATTACAGCTTGCTTCCTTTTCTCCAGTTTTGAGTTTTTGCTTACAAATGTGGAGGTAAATTGCAAAAAATTATATGTCAGTATGTCTGGAAATGTCTTAATAAACTTCTCTCGTTCAGCATAAATATCCAACATGGATGGGATTGTACAAAAATCCTTATTTTTGGACACCTGTACTCTTCGTGAACCATCAAGAGATGTATTTATTACTTCATGTGTTGCACTTACACATTTGAGTGAGAGTAAATGATGCATAACTTCTTGGATTGAATAATCTCGTTGTCCGACACTTTTGATCATAATTTGCTTCAAAATGTTATGAATGTCACTTTCGTCCGATGCTTTACTAATTACATTGGTGAATGCATTATTTAGAACTGAAGAAGCTTTTTCTCCTTTTGATGTGTATTTCACAAGATATTCCAAACATGCCACATAATCTATAATAATTTGAATATCACAATTTGCCCTCCATCCTTGGAGCTGCAGTGGTTGGTGACGATTTAATCTTGAATCATTTCGCTTAGTAACAATGGTTGCTCTATACTTGGTTTGGCCTGATTTAGTGTTTATTGGTTCAAAATCTATTCTTGTCTTTGGGCAATTTTCAAAAGGAAATTTGAATCTACAGGCTAATTCATTTTGCTAGTTTCCCTTAGACAATACTTAGTACTGCACATTGTATGTCTCTCAACAGAGTTTAATAAATTCACATAGTCTTCCTCTTTTTGTTTGCCATTCAAAGACAGATACTGGGTTTGACATGGATGAGAATCTGGTTTGGACCACCCTTCTTCTGGGGAACATGGATTCCAAGTTGTTAGTATAAAGTCAACATACTGACAAACAACAGACTCTGCTTGTATACCTTGATTTATCTTAGTCTCCAGTTCTAATATTTCTTCTTCTGACAAATTTCCTTTGTTCTCATTGATATGCTTTGATGCTAAAAAACCTTGCAATGCAATTTCTGTCAGTTCAAAGTCCTGGATCATTTTTCAATTTTGCAACTCCATGACAATGAATTGAACCTCTCTGAACTGCATACTCGTATCTGTACCAATGCCAAGAAGCCCCTAATGACTCTTTTAACCAAAACTTGACAAAACGATCTGTTCGCTCAGTAAAAACCAATCCAAGATATGTGGATTTTGAAGAACATTTTGCTGCCTGATTGCTGGTTGAAGTGTTTCAGAGTGAGGGTCACAAAAGAGTTCATGAAATTCAGGCCAATGGTACTCAGCACAAGATAAAGTAAAAAATATAGTAGGCGGTCCTACTTGAGCAATGGTTGCTCATAAATCCTCTTTAGCTTTGTGCCAATAGCTATTGCTACCAGTAACATTTTTAGCATAATGCATAAGTTTTGACATTAAAGTAGAATACGTATTTGTTTGAAGCATTTGTTGAAGTTGTTCTACAGTTAACTTAGCTTCACCAGGGTTTTGCTTTAAAAAATATTTCCCTGACTAAGGAGTCTGTGCCTCTGAATCATGTTGAATGCCCAATAAGCAAACCGTGGGTGACTTGCAAACCTATAAGCCCATTTACCATTATTATATTCAGCAAATTTAATCAAATGTTTTATTTTATCTCCAAGGGTCACATCACGCATTGTAGCACTGTTAGTAGGATCTCCTTTACCATCTGGGAACAAAGTAGGAAATGCCATAGTAGCTAAATATTCAATTTTAAACTCATTGAGAGGACTTGAATTCCTATTAGGCCAATTGATTTTACTGTTTTGTAATAACTCATCTTTTATCAGCTGCTTCTGTGGCTTTAGTTGTACAGGGTTAAGAATTGTGCTACTCAATTCTGTGTCTTCATTGAAAGGTATTTCATCAAGAGGACCTCTGTCTGGATCAATTTCATCATCTTTACTGTTCTCAGTACAATAAATTTTACGCAGCTCAGTGGGAATGCCATCAGAAGGCAAGAAAGCCAACAATTCATAATCAATAGTGATATCCTTATATACAGGGTTATGTTGAACTAACCAGTGCAGAGCACAGCTGACCTTTTCACGCGTCTCACAGTGAGATCTTTATAAGTATTATCTTTGCCTTTGACTGACACAACTATTACTGGCATTTCACTTAGGTTTCTTGGCAATGAATTGGCTAACTCTTGGATATCTTGAGAGAAGTTAATACAATGACCTTTATATGCTTTTTTTGTCCACCTGGTTTTGTATAAACAGAAATTACTGGGAAAACACGAGCTATTAACATTTCCTCTAATTGCGTTAAACCTTGCAATTCATTTGGGACTTGTGAAGGAATCATTCCATTCTGAGATGAAAATTTTTTCACTCCATTCTTGTCACGTGAACATCTTGAACACATATAAGGAGATCTCTTTTTGCCTTTTTGATGATAATGGCCATGCCTCATGGCAAACTTCACACATATAAATTTTGAATTTAAGTGAATTATGAAAGTCTTCCATGTTTTTGATAGCCCACTTCTGTACATGAATTGGTCCAGTGTTTATACTGTCAAATTGAGATAAATATGCTTCTTTGTCAACATTATGCAGTGGTTTATCTACTTTTTGCCATGCTGTAAATTTTCCTACTGGTTTAATTACATCAAATGTATTGTCTTCCTTTTTCTGTCTAGAGTTCCACTTAAATTGCACAGTTTGTTTTATCAATTGTGCTTGCTTTTCCTCCCTGTCTCATAATCCTTTATTTTCCTTCTGTATGCCCTCATATATTCTTTTTTTTTTTTTTGTCTAGAAAGTTTTTCACTCTCTGTCTCTTTGGCTTTTTTTTAGCTGTAAATTTTCCTACTGGTTTAATTACATCAAATGTATTGTCTTCCTTTTTCTGTCTAGAGTTCCACTTTTGCACATTTTGTTTTATCAATCGTGCTTGCTTCTCCTCCCCCTGTCTCATAATCCTTTATTTTCCTTCTGTATGCCCTCATATATTTTTTTGCTTTTTTTTTTGTCTAGAAAGTTTTTTCACTCTCTGTCTCTTTGGCTTTTTTAGCAATTTTGTAATTCTTCAAATGTGGATTTACTACATTTAAGTTCAGCTTTCTTTTTCTATCTATCAATTTGTCAGTATTTGTTTCTGGTCTTTGTCGTTTTTCTGGGTGTGCAAACTTCTTTCCCAAAATCATCACAGGCTTGGCGTTCTTTATCCTCTAATTTTGAATAAGAATGGTCTGGCATTAATGTACAGGAATCAATGCCTTGATGTATATTAATAATGTTATCAACAGAGCTTTCATAAACAGCAAAATACCATCCATTGGCGTAAACATTCAAAATATCTTGAAATGTAGCATATTGCTGAACTGCACTACAGAGATCATCATAATAAAACCAATAACGACCATTGTTTATAGCAATAGTGAAATGGTGGCTTGCACACCGCACAACAGCTTTTAATAAGTAAAATGTACCTAAGAGTTCCATACTTGCTGGTAGAACAGTTTGACCAAAAAAGAAATTGATGATAATTCAATGTGTAAAAATTTTGGCATGGTAACAAAATGTTGCAAACCTGAAATATCACCAGAATGCCTTTGACATGCATCACAAAAAAGTGGGCTGCTATTAGGCAAAGCAGCTTCTGAAACACAGTTTTCAAATTCAGTGGGCAGAATATTTGGACAAGTAATATACAAGACAATAGTGCTAGTAGTTTTCAATATTTGATTGTTACACAGGGTGCAGCAAGTCTGATTACATTGTTGAATAAGAAATAATGATTTCAAATCACTGGTTAAATCCCCAAATGCTTGCATGGTAAATATGTCACTAAAAACAGCATTTGCAGTCATTGAAGAAAATGATGGGCAACGACCTCTGATCAGTGACCATATAGGCTCTCGCACAACATCAACAGCACCAACAATTGCCCTTTGATTGCACGCCTCAGAGATAACTTGAAAAAAAATCATTGCATGTAATGTTTTGAAGATGATTGCGAAAAACAAAATAACATAGCTCAAGAAAGCAATCAACTGCACAAGAAAACTTCCCTACGTTGGTCAAACAATAATTACGAAAGTGATCTCTTACATTTGATCCTTCACACATGTATGTAGAATTACTATCAGTGCTATTACATATTGCATTGCGTTTTTCTTCCAACACTTCTGAATTTATGTTCCCATTCACAATGTGTGCCTCCTTGTTTGAAATAACGAAGGGATTAAAACTACCATTAGAAGGATAAGCTATTCGCCTTGACAAGTATCTCCCCTAAATCTGAAATAGATCATGCTGCATTTTGGGCACACACTCCCCAATTCTAACAGATTATTGTGGGCAGTACGATTGGGAAAAAGAGTAGCAACATAAACAATAGCCACATCATTTTCAAACTTTTGTGCGGTTTATTGCTCTAGGTGTACCTTGTATTTTAGTGGGCAAAAAGTCTGTGCTTCAAAAATTCGTGATACGCTTGATATTAATAACAGTCGAAAGAATTGATCGAGCTGACAGTTGATTATTGCAGCTTGCTCGCTCTCAATGCACTTCCGCCGCGTTAGGTTTCCTTTGAATTTAACTCAAGCTTAAGTTAAGTTGAATCTCAGTTGCTTCGATTGTTTTCAGCTTGTTTGTGGGGTGACAAAGTTGGTTCAGTGGCCAATGACGAGTGCACTCTTTCGTGGCTAGCTCGCCGCTAGTTTGCTACAACTTTAATTGCTTTCTGCTCGCTATTAATGGTGACAAAGTTGCCTCACTGGCCACTAGTTTGCTAAAACTATCGTTTGTTTTGTTTGAATACAGTTTCAAGCGGTTTCTCAGTTTCTTTGATTGCTTTATGCCTGCTGGCGTTGTCTAACTGCTCGCTATTAATGGTGACAAAGTTGCCTCACTGGCCACTAGTTTGCTAAAACTATCGTTTGTTTTGTTTGAATACAGTTTCAAGCGGTTTCTCACTTTCTTTGATTGCTTTATGCCTGCTGGCGTTGTCTAGATTTGGCACCCTTGCCGACTTTGGCACTCTCACGTGTGGCTCGTTCGCCGCCGCTAGTTTGCTACAACTTTGATTGCTTTCTGCTCGCTAATGGTGTCAAAGTTGGCTTACAACCGCTAGTTTGCTACGATTATCGTTTGTTTGAGCTTTTTGTTTTGTTTAATTCGGTGGTTTCTCAGTTTCTTTGATTGCTCTATGCCTGCTGGCGTTGTCTACATTTGGCACGCTTGCCGACTTTGACACACTCGTCAACTTGGCACACTGGCCGACTTTGGCACACTGGCCGGTTACTGAGCTTGCTAACTCGATAATTATACCACAAAGGCACTTAACTTAAGTGCACTCACGCAGAATTGGAAATAAAACTTACAAAGGTAGGTGAAAAATACAATTTTCTTACCTCAAACTTGCTCGCTCCTCCGCTCGATAAATGACAAAGCTGCTAAGCGTCCACGATAAGCACCATGTGGACTTGACGTCACGATCTTTGCGCGCTACCATTGGTCCGTTGCAAAACAAAGCCTATTCACATTACGTCATTGGAATCTCAGGAATCTTACCTTACAGACATCTTACAATCACTCGAGATTTTTTCCGCCTGTACAATACTCTCGCACGGCTCTATAATGCTGCCGCCTCTCCAGCCTCGCGTCTTCGCTCGGCTGGCTCGTTGGCAATTACAGGTTCAAACAAGAGTTGAATATTACTTTTCTTTTTAAGTTTCTACGCTAAATAGAGGAGGTTGAACCGTTAGGGAATAGCGGTGGGGCAAGCAATCGCACCTGGCAACTTCAAGAGAAGATATAAGAGAAGGCCATGCGATTCTGGCGTAATATTTTACTGACTCTCCGTACTCACGTGTAAATTCTTAAATCGACCAGGATGTCTTATGCAAAGTAGTTTAGCGTCGTTTCTTTCAATTTTCGCTCATTTTCCCACACTGAAATTATAAGTCACGCTCAATAGAATATAATTTCAACTGATGCTGACCTCATACAGTTCATCCGAAGACGAAACATTCCCTATCTTCTAAAATTTGCTCAAAACATTCAGAACAACGACGAAGGTCGTAAGCTGTTTGATATACCGCTGACTAGGATAGGATTGTATTTTTAATTTACAATCAGTAAACGCAACTCATTTAGAAGCTTTAACTATCACAATCAAACTGAAAGGGTTTTAAACGTTACTCATAGAAGAATCCATAATTTAAAACCACCTTAATAAAGCGAGGATTAATTAATAAATTAGTTAAGAAGTAAATATATTAATGCTGATAGTGTAGTATGATTGTCTGGGAAAGGGAACTTAATTTTAAGTGATAACAATTTTCCTCTCCATTCCGCTAAGCGAGACATTGGAACTGGTGCCCATCACTTTCATGGACATTAGCTATTTTCAGGACTATCAGCGCTGCACGATCGACGGTTCTCTCTAAGTTTAAGCAGTTTCTACGGCGAACTTTTCCTGTTGTCGTACAGCTCGAAGTTCAAGAACAAGAAGTGTTATCGATGACCCTGAAGTATCTAGAAACTACGCATGAATGGTGATAAGTATTACTGTTTTTCTTTCAGAAACTTTTCTTAAATTTCTAGTTTCGGCAGTCCTCTTTGAAAGTGCCGATATATTGTTAAGTACATCCCGCGTTTCTAGAAGAGTACCCAACACTTTCATTTTTAATCTCGTATCTTAACCAGCAGTTGATATCTCTGACAATGTTCAATCCATTTGCATCAATCTCAGACATATCTCGATTGTCTCTTGACGTCATCCAGTGACTGAATAACATTAGCAGGGTAATTAGTGGTTAACTTAAAGATCAAAAATTGACATATCATACATATCATACGATCATTCCGTCACAGTGAGCCCGGAAGCGACACGATTCATTTCCACCGCTCTTAGAAAGTATGTCACCCCCTTTCTTTGCAAGGGTAATATAAGTAACAATTTTTTTTAAAAAATGAAAGGAAAGTGTGTACTCCAAACACTTTGAAGTAAAAGCCTTCCTTTCCCTATTAAGAAATTCTGCGAACAGTTTTTTGAAGAAACAGAAAACGAACAAGTCGTCAACACATCCCCCACTGAATACATTTTGAGTTATAAGGAAAAGAAGCGAGTTGTTTTTCGAACGCGATTAAGTAAAGATAAATATCTTACTCAAATTTTTTTCCTCGAGCAACGCATTGAGAGGTGGGGGCCGCCCTATTTGACGTCATTAGCAATCATTTTATCACTTTTCGTGGATGCGGAAGTAGCAGGTGTGCTTTTGAAATATCATCTCTGGTTGATTATCGAGACTTATAAATGGGGAATGCAGCCTGTACAACTTTGAAATCATGCAATGTGAACACAGATGGACAAAATCAAGTGTTACAAATCACAATCAAGCGCGGAAAAGACGATACATCAAGAGCGAAGCCACCTCCAAGCTTGCAGTTAGAGGTTGATCTCGGTGAGATTGTCTCTCCGTGCATCGATGTTATGTTCATCTGTAGTGAGTGGGGCTCTAAAAAGGGAGGACTCTCAACGTTCAACAGAGAGCTAGCTGTGAATCTAGCGAATATATCAAACGGCAGAATCAAGGTTCACTGCTACGTATCTGAAAGCAGCGAAGCGGAAAGGCAAGATGCAAGCAGTAAAGGAGTGAATCTTATTACCGCTAAGCGCTCTCCAGGATCTAGCGATCCCTTAGATTGGCTAAAAACTCCGCCGTCAGATAGATTAAATCCTGATGTTGTGGTGTCTCACGGGAGGAAATTTGGTAGCGCCGCTTATTTCATTCAAATGATCACAAACTGCCGTTGGATACATTTCGTGCATGTCAATTGCGAAGCTCTTGGAAAACACAAATTGGAATGTAGCGTCACGGCGGATGCGATTGCCGATAACGAAGAGAAGAACAGACAAGAACTCGAACTCTGCAGAGCATCTGAGTTAGTTGTTGCAGTAGGCTCTCTGCTACAAAGAAAATATCAAAGAAGTCTGCCAGATATTAAAGTAGAGGTCATTACTCCAGGGATTTTCGAAGAGTATATCAATCCGGCTGCAACGCAATCCGAGCGTGAATTATCAGAGGAAGACTTCAGTATATTTATGTTCGGTCGTGGAAGCTTTGAGGACTTTTCCCTCAAAGGATATGACATCGTTGGAAAGGCTGTGGCTTCTCTGGAAAGAAAATTTGAGCTCACATTTGTCGGTGCGGCACAAGATGAACAAAGGAAGATAGAAACGTGGTTTCTGGAGGAAACCAAAATATCACGTAACCAGTTAACCATTCGTGGCCTCTGCAGTTATGAACAAATTAAAACAATGTTACGTGAAGCGGACTTAGTCGTCATGCCGTCCCGCACAGAGGGCTTTGGTTTGGTTGCGCTGGAGGCAATATCAGCTGGTGTACCTGTTCTTGTCTCCAGTGAAACTGGAATTGCCAAAGCCCTTCAAGACTTAGAGAATGGGATGTCCGTGGTTGTCAAAACAGATGTATCTGATGAATGGGCGAATAGAATCTTTCGTTTGTCAAAACAGACACGAAGAAACAGACATATTACTGCCTTGCGGCTTAGAGAGCAATATAAGTTAAAGTATTCGTGGGAGAACGAGTGCAAGAAATTTGAGAAGATGATCCTTGAGTTAGTGAAAATCACTGATCAAAATGAAATTCCCTTAAATCGTCGTTTGACAGGTATGCATTTTTTTCCTAATGTTGTTTTTGCATAGTTTACCTCAAAATGCTTCAATACTAAGAAATTTACTTCCAACTGGAAAGTCTGTGAATAGGCTCGGATGTAATTTCAAGTAATGAAGTCAATTTGACCCTAATTGCTTAGATTTCCCGATGAATAAATCAAATTTTCTCATAAGTGGAAAGTGTTTGTGTGTATTGGACAACATTCCATTAAGAGCACCAGCTAGTGAGATAATTTGTCTCATCTGCGCGTATAAAATTCACAGTTCCCTGAAAATGAAAGCCTTTTCAGTTTCCAAGTTTTCATCATTGTTAAAAATGTTTCATTCTAAACATTATGTTGAATTCAACCTACTAAGTAATGTTTATAATTACAAAACCCTTTGTGTATGTGTAGTAAAACCACTGTGTTGATTAATGGGTTGCCCTCAAAAGTGAAGATGTATATTGTATATTCACTGAGTCCTCTGTGGACGTGAGTTTTTACTGGGATCTCTGTATCTCTGTGGACATAATCTGATCATGATGCAGCAATATTCAATTATTAGACAACACAACTCTGAAGGATGCTCTGAAAGCAGTTCTCAAAGCAGATGACGTACAATCTCCCAAAAGTGAAGACGGGGGGCTGTTAAACGCAGGTGTGTAATTTGTGCCATAAGAATGTTTTCAAGAGGTAAGAATGGGGCCAGGCAGTAATTACAGGCAACAAATGGTAAGAAACACTAATATCAATGAATTTGGGGCATGAAAAAATTTTGAAGTAAAACTATCAAATGACTTAAATTGACAATCTATGTTCTTAAGTGCGTGATCAGTTTAAGATTTTGCTTAAGTAATGGTGTTGCCAAAAAATTCATTTTGACGAAATTAAGTTTTCGTCAAAATGACATGATGTTAAAACATACTGGAATTCATGCCACTGTATTAATAATTTAATTTATATGGCTATATGTTTTTTTCTGTTGCTTGAATTTTCTATTTTTCAAATGCCTCTTGATTTTTTTTTCGTGAACGCTTCTTTATTGGTTGTGACCGCATGAGTATGAATCTTATTTCCATCTTGAATAGATCCAAACATTTTAAATGAAGAAACAGAGCGAACCGAGAGAAGAAAAGAAGGAGAGAAAGCAATAGGTATGCATGTGAACCTGTTTTTTAGTGTGCCAGAAAAAGCTATGTCTATTCTCATCACCAGCTGTTATCGGAATTAATATGTTATTACATTTTTGTATTTCATCCTCTGAATCAAGATCCAGGAACTTCAGATAAAAAAGCAAAACAAATAAACAGCAGCCGCCAACTTGTAAAACAAGCAGGTATGTCCATCAACGTCATGTTTTTGCACTATATAAAAATGAAAAATTGGTATCACGTTTCATATAACGTGATGAAATCAATACTATAAATCTATTGGGACTGTATGTACAACTAACTCTATTTCTATCTGCAGCCTTTAGAGATATATAAACTTATTACTGTTGTACTTTGTCTTGTGTAGATCCAGACACTTCCAATAAAAAAGCAGAACAAACGACAGAAAGAAAGACAGGTAGGCAAGGGGCAGCTACATATATTGAACATATTTTGTAGAGTGCCACAAAAAAATGCAAATCATTTCTTGTTTCAGTACCTTTTGTAGACCCAATTTAGTGAGGATATTTCGATATCCTCTCTACTGATATGAGGGTATGATTTGATTATTTTGACCACAGATGGAGCCAGGTCTTTCTTTGATTTGTGAATGGTAAACAGCTGTCTGGCTTTCATCAGAAAATTACAACCTATTTAAAACCAATTAAGAATTCTTCTGAGTTAACATACAGCAAGTCTTATATAGTGTGCGTAAACTGAACAGTTCCTTGAGGTAACATATTCTTGGGAACCCAATGTCGGCTTGTTGTATATTCTACCAATCCAGTATTTTTGGTATTGGTGAAATGATCCAAGGAATTTTAAACTTTAAAAGCAGTGAAACAGATAAAAAAAAATGACTGGAAAGAGCTAATACTTTAAGTTACGGAGGTGTATTAATTGCAGTTTATAAATATACTTAAATCAGTTTCCTGTGCAGACCATGACACCTTAGATAAAACAAGAGAAACACAAATGGAGGCAAGAAATTACCTTTTTTAAAATATTATTGGTTACATAACTTTAAATAAACATTCTGAACTTAGGGATAATTTTGATTGTTCATACTTTCACTCTACAGGTGAAAAAAAGTCAGCTTTTTCTTTATTTTGTGTACAAGTCCACAGCTGCTTACTTACATAGCTTTCTGTAGGATTAAATTATAAGAAATTTAGAAGCTGTTTTAAATTGACTAACATATTCTAGTTTGGTTCTTAAAATATACAGAGTACACTAAGATGAACATTTCCTTTCAGTGCTAATAATAAAAATCCCAAGACTTTTCATTTTCACTGACTTCCTAAAATCATCATAGTACTTAAAGAACGGCATGATTGTAACGTCAGTGTTGTCATTCTATGCAGCTCCAGGCACCCCAAATGAAACAAAAGAACAAATACAGGAGGACAAGGAAGTAGTGCAAGCAGCAGGTATGTAATATTTACCTACTTGCAGGATCCTCGAGGTAAACAAAAACTCCTGTAGAAGAGTGTTGTCAGTGACAGCTGAGACTAATATTCTGAAAATTTTAGTAGATGTCATCTTGAGAGTCAAATCACTTGACTAATATTAACTTCACAGCTATCACCAATACCGCGAGACCTTTCCAGAAGTAGTTTTACCTGAAGCGTCAGATTATTTCACGGAGAAAAAGCTGTCATTCAATTTTACTGAGATTGATTTATATGGCCTCTAATACGCTAAGAAAGTAAATTTCCCTGGCTTGTAAGATAAGTGCATTGTTGTCTGTGGAAGCAAAGGGTATGATTCTTGACCAGTTATTTGATCAGAATTTAATCAAAAGTCAGGCTGGCGTCTGAAATTTTGTATTTTTTTTCAGACCTAATCAATCTTTTATGATTTTTTTTTTTCTTTTTTAAGACTAAAAATCTGGGTTAAAATGGGGGAATCAATTAGTTCTTTTTGTCAGAGACAATGTAAGAGTTTCAAAAGGCAATTGCCCAGTCATCCTACTCTAAAAAATTCAGAGGTACCCTCCTTAGTGCACATTTAATACTAATCATTCATAGTATTACCCTGGGTATTTAGAGTTTCTTAGGTATAATTATCTTAAGTTTTCATGCAAGTTCAGATCTACAGACTGTCAACAAAAAAGAAAAGAAAAAATGAATGCATGAAAGGCGGTGTTTACATTACGTAGAAATGGTCATAAATGCGATGTGCTGCTAAAATGTGATTACTTTCAAATCATTTACTATGCTGTTTAATTTCACTGGTATAATATACTTTATTATAAAGTTCGGAGATAATGTGCGTTGTCTTTGGTTGAAAAAGCGCGCTCTATTAGACTACGTCTCGTGTTTGTCCCCACTCTTATTTCGTACTCTCACCGCTTCCTGTGTGCTTTAAAACAGACCACAACACAGTCAAGGCTTCTCCATTTGTTAAGTATGTGAAGTTAAATGTTAGCAAAACTGTAATGGAGATATGCTAAATTGAATGGAACTCAGACTTCCGAGATTTTATACAGTATGTGTAAAAACTTTTATGGCTATGAAATTTTCAGCCCTCATTCTATAAAAATCTTTTTGCAAATGTCAATAGAGGAGATGTAATTTTTATCCTAGTTATTTAATAATAAGTTTAAGACTACTGAGTTAACTATACTACTAAAGAAACTCCTGGAGGGTTTGTTTATGCTCATTATCCGTGTTTACAGTAACTGAAATACTCCCACGATCCTTCAATCTCACCTTCCTTAAGTAATGTTTGTCTCTCATTTTCCTTCTCTAACAACTCTATTGTAGGTGACGCCTATGTGAACCAAGACATGGAGGAAAGTGTTGTTCTGCTTTTCTCTGCTGCAAGTGAAGATGATGTCGCTGAAATTGAATCCTTGCTCTCTCGTGGAGTTTGTATTGATTCGCGAGATTCGCAAGGCTGGACGCCGGTAATGATTGCTGCTGGAAATGGCAAGGTACAAGCGGTGAAGTATCTGATCAGTAGAGGAGCTGATCTGGGTCTGCGAGACAACAATGGCAGGAATTCGTTACATTGGGCCTCACTATGTGGTGACGTTGTTGTCATCCAGCTACTGGTCAGTCATATGACTGATATTGACCCAAGAACTGCCACTGGTAGGACACCGCTAATGCTTGCTGCTGAAAATGGAAAGGTGCAGGCGGTAAGGTGTCTGATCATGAAAGGAGCTAATCCGGCCTTACGACACAGGACTGGATGGAATTCGTTACATATAGCCTCACGGTATGGTCACGTTGATGTCATTGAGCTGCTGGTCAGTCACATGACAGATATTGACTCGGAAGATGCCTGGGGTTGGACGCCGCTAATGATTGCTGCTGAATATGGCAAAGTACAGGCGGTGAAGTGTCTGATCAGTAAAGGAGCTGATCTGGCTTTACGACACAGGACTGGATGGAATTCGTTACATTTCGCCTCACTACGTGGTCATGTTGATGTCATTGAGCAACTGGTCAGTCACATGAATGATCTTGACTAAAGAAATGTCCAGGGTAGGACGTTGCAAATGATTGCTGCTGAATATGGCAAAGTACAGGCGGTAAAATGAGACGACTGAGGAAGGAATTTGTTACCTCAAGCTACATTTAAGGGCAACAAAGGCATTATTGACACAGTACTTTCTCAGTGAGTTGACATTGAATCCAAAACCAAGGATGGTGAAACCCCCTTATGATGAAACGGCGCCTTGGACTTACCGAGACAGTGAGTTATCTTCTTAGTAAAGGAGCCAAGTTTAACTAAGAAAGAGTCAGACAAGTGCTCCTTCACGCATGCTCAGTGAAGCTAAGTTGTCTCTTGATGTTTTGTCAGATGCCAATCGTGAATGGTTTGAATACGAGATTTTTCAGCTTCTTACCCAGGGCTTTTCCCTCCCTAGAGAATCGGGAAAAACACTGGGAATAACTTAACGGATTGTTTCAACGCAAACGTCATGTTGGCAAATTTTCTTGAGGTAATTTAAAATGACAGGCTTTGTCGAGTGTGTAGAACTGAATAATTATAGTTTCTTCACCAAACGAAGAAGGCCAATTGTATGCTAGTATATATTCCAAATTCTCCTAAAAATGAGTACTCATGCTCAATTATTCAAACTCTGTAATCCCTTTCAAACTTCTGCTATTTTTGTATTGTAAACATTTGCCAAAGTTCTCTTTTCAGCCGTCTACTCTACGCCTTTCACCTGGGTTTATAT